TAAATAACCTATCGTGACTGTGGGTTGTTACGTTTAAAAAAGTAACAATTATTTTACAGGTGGTAGTGTAACAGCAGAAGACGAAAGACTTCGTAAAGGTATATTTAAAACAACTAGTTCCCTTTATGTATTTAGACAAGGCAATAAGAAGAAGTAATTTGTCTGAATCGTGTAATGTATTTATGCAACACAGTTTGAATGTACGTGCGGCAACACATACATAGGGAGAAATCATCGATCTCTGCAAGTAAGGGCTAACTTCAGAGCATATTCCTAAGTAGATTCACAAGCAAACAGAATTCCCAGGACCCATTAATGGTTAGAACATGTGACCTAACCCCTCTATTGCGAGACATATTATAGAGACAGGAGATAAAATTGATGTTTACACGTCTTCTAAACCTAACTATAGAATGTCTTTGGGATCTATCTTAAAGTTTGTAGAAGCCCTAGCAATTAGGAAAATTAAACCACCTTTACCCGTTCAAAAACAATTTGTCATCACACTAAACCTTCCCTGGTAAACTTAGTTTAGATACAAGGACACATGTACTATTATCTCTCTTATTTGTTTCGTAATCTTCATTGTTATTTTTACCCTCAGTATGTCGTTTTAACTTGACTTAAGTCCACTTTCTTACGTCTTGACTCTTTAATAATTTCATAGGCATTCCTGTGACAAGTTCGTGAATGATCAGATTGTCCGAATTGTGTTGCGCAAATACATTACATGACTGAAACAAATTACGTCTTCTTGTTGCTTTATCTGTGCGTCTATGACACAGTGATAGGATGCTTGCCAAATACGCATAATAATAATAATAATAATAATAATAATAATTGCTTTATTCCAAAAACAGTACTCATGATACAGCAAGGAATTTTCAGCATTCAGTACAATATTGCATCTAATTTACCCAAAAACGACAAAAAAAAAATTAAAAATACACAATACATAATAGTAATAAAACGATTGTTGTAGCAGCTACGTAGCAAAATACTGTGTGCCATACGGAGAAAAATATGTATAAAGTACAAAATTGTAGTAATAATAGTAATACCAACTAATATAAAATAGCAGAGTAACGATTTAAACGATAGAAAGTGTGACACCATAAAATACAGAAAGATGAACGATAAAAGGGTCGATTCACTGTGCTAATTACATAGTAACTTGTAAGTTTCACGTCTAACAGAGTCTTCGTCACATAAAGTACGCGCTAAATAGGGTATTGTAGAATTTCTATACTTAGTAGTACGAGCATATATCTTTTTATATTGACTTCTCGTCCTACCTGATGAGATACAAGGGGACAGGTGTGAATAAAGGGGGTGCAGAGGGTCTGACATTATAGCCTTTGCCCATTTCGTACAGGAATTTATATGCCTCTCGACTATAGTATTAGCGAGCTCATGCAGTGGCAGACCACAAGCTCTACTCACAGCATTTAATACTCTTCGTAATATGATATAATCTTTTTTGAGCAGCCCAGGAAAGATTAATGGAGAGCAGTAGAGTACAATAGGTAAAATACAGGAGTTTAAAAATTGCAAAACTAAAGGTTGGTTGATACCTGATTGTCTTAACTTTTTAATGTAGAAGGTAAGACGAAACATTTTCTTAGAGATAGATAAGATATGGGATGACCATGAAAGGTCAGAGGAAAAAACTAGTCCAAGGTATTTAATACTTGATTTGGTTTCAATTTCCGTGCCATCTATGCTACAGGGATCATGAGAGTTAACTAGTTCAAGTAAGTCACGTCGATGCTTGAAAGTAAAGTCAAGCACCTGACATTTGGAAGGATTTAATATAAGACCATTTGACTTGGACCAGTTGTTGATGTCCAACAGAAAGCTATTAAGTTTGGAGCTGTCAGACTCGGAAGTGATAGGCAGTGATACAGTCAGATCATCTGCATATTTAACAAAGTTAGTTTCGTTTGAATGAGGTAGGTCATGTAGGAAGAAAGAAAAAAGAAAAGGAGAGAGTACAGCACCTTGTGGAACACCGGATTTTGTAAGCGAGGTATGTGGTCCGAAGTTACATCCCCGGCCAGCGAACTAATATACGTTGCTTAACCAGTAATAAGTCTGGTAAGGAGGGAAGGTTGGGCATAAGACTAGCAACTCCATCCCGTAAAAATAAACACTACTGCTACTGAAACCTAAAGCCTGTTGCTTGAAGCCCTATGTTCCACTGGGAACGTATAGGAATAAAAAAGATAGAAATATTGCCTTATCTAGAAGGAGAGATTATTAACCGTTCGGTATCTATGTATAGACAAATAATGTCCACCTTAAACGCGCCATTTGCACATATTTTTCGTGTTGTGCTACTTCTGGTCTTCATATTGTGTTTTTTGTGTTCCTTTCGTGTCTCCTATATATCTCCACAACGCTGCATAATTTGCCTTCTCTGACATCAAATCTATCTTGTTACCATTTGGTGTTTTTGTGCCTATGAACATCTATTTATATATATGTTTATAATATTGATAAATCTTATCAGTAGCACACGCCACAGTAGTTTTAATACTCTAGTACTACAATTTATTGTGGTCTAGGATTTTCCGCTACAGATACTATAAAAATAGCAACAGAAAAAAGCATGTCAGGAAGTAGAAATTGAAACCCTTTCCTTAATTACTGCAAGTTAACTGAAATAATAATTTCATTCATAATAGTGTTATTATACATTTGCTGATTAATTGGGTTAGCTAAAGTGAAAAGCATCATTGTAATGATTGAGCAATGATTTTTAAGGAGCTCTGTAAATATAACACATATTTGGTTACAGGATTTCATCATGAGCTGACATCGGTTAGTAGTCGTGACACTGACCAGTGGTCGTGACGTTTCGTGAACTTCAGAAGCTGGAATTCATGATATAAGTATAAAACTTGGGCATTGTGGTAGATTATAACTCCATTATGGATAAGATTTTATTTTGATAAATCACACATTGTTGTACAGTAATATTAACTGATATCACTGTACAACACTGTGTGATTTGTCAAAATAAAATCTTGGAATTCACGAACCAATGGATTGTTTCTCAGAGGCCAGATGGTCTACGAGCTCGTCTTGTAGCTTAAAGTTCCTGGGTTCGAACCCTGGTTGGTGGGTACCACTGAAGATTCCGAAAGTAGGACGAAACAGCTTTCCAGTACTCCCCGTTAGTTTTCCAATGGTTCTCTAACTGATGTCAGCTCATGATGGAATCCTGTAACCAATCAAATCCCTACAAATCAACACTTGAATATCAATGAGATGCTCACTAGCTACTAGTCCTATTCAGGTAGGTATTTACCTGGGGTTCTAGTGAGAAGTCATGACTAGTAGGGTGCAGCGGGTCGGGTGTGAGGACAAATACTCGCCGAAGACATTGGTTAGTGGTTGCGCTATATTGTGAATTGGCAGAAGTTAGAATTCATTGGCGATTGGATTGGGTCCCAGTGGCTTAATGGTCTACGAGCTCGCCTTGTAACCAGAAGGTCCTGGGTTCGAACCCCGCGGTGTGGGTGCATGCTGATGAAGACTCCCAAACTAGGCTGACGAAACAGCTGTCCAGTACTCCCAGGTTTTCCAATGATTCTCTAACTGATGTCAGCTCATGATGAAATCCTGTGACCAATCCATCAAATCCCTACAAACCAATACTTGATTACACATATTTGTTTAAGTCAAAATATAAAGTGAAGATATGAACAAAAATAATAGACTGTTTGGCATGAAATATTTTTAGAAGCAATTAGCCATAACTTTAAATTGAAAATTTGATTAAATCTTTTAATTTTACTGTGGACTGTGGCTGTTCTTTAAAATATTAATATACTAAAATTTGAAAGGCATATTTCGCAATACTTACAGTATAGCTGTGTACAGTAGCACTGGATTTATTCTCTAATTTACATTAATGAAACTTATCACTGAGGAGATTTCTAAGGGAATGAGTTAAACAAATTTTGTTCCAGCTATAGACCCTACGTCATCAAATCATTTTTCATTCCTTTGTGTCACAAGTCAAGCACAGGTCCTCGAAGATGAGTATTAAAGCTTCAACAGCAGTGGTTTGTCTTTACGGGGCGAGGTTGCCAGCTTCACACCTAACCTTCTCTCTTTATCAGGCTTTGTACCGGCTGAAAGAGGTCTAGGAGTGCATCGAACGAGAACCAAAACCTCGTATCACGTAGGTGGTTAGTAGGCACTGCTCCACTGAACCTATGACACATGAAACTATTACATTCCTGTACTGGTGAGCGTGGCTATGCTGAGAAACAAAGACAGAATCTCTCGGAACTGAAACACACCTGAATTCAGGAGGCACTGTATAGTGATTACGAGAATAAAAGAACAGGTTTAAGTATCCTTATTTTTGTGTACTCACCAGTAGGTGTGATTGTCCTTATTTTTAGCCGTTTAGCTGTTGCGAACATAGGATGTTGAATTTTAGTCTTGCAGAATATCGTCAATTTCTGCTTTTTTATCTCCCAAACCTTATTTGGTACGAATTCAGATGCTGAACCTCTTTAAAACCGCCATATTTAGTTTTAATCCAATCTATCATTTTGAATAATTATTTAATATTATTTCTATTATTTTATTCCTCTGGATTCTGAGTGGAACACACGGCCTCAAGCTTCAGATTTGAAGTTTCAGTAGCATTGATTTTATGTTTACAGGGTGGAGTTCTTAACCTCATGCCCAACCTTCCCTCTCTACTGGCCCTACTAACGTCTTAACAAGGCTTAGGAGTGCGTTGGCGAGTGTTCTACCTCTGAACCACTGGTACACAGTTGGAGTAATAGTGAACACTAAGGTTTCTGAAAATAACTAGTTCCTTGTAGTATACGGTCTTCCGAAGAAATATAGACGTGTAAAACAAGTACACCTTTGAAGGAAGTTAGTAAAACTTTCAGAAGTAGATATTTTTTAAATTTCATTTATACACCATATTATCCTATAGTTATTTTTGTATTTACCACTGTTAATTCCAGAAACAATCAGAACACTCTGAATCAAGTAATCAAGAAAATATCTTATCAGATACTTCAAGTTCATTAAACAATCAACAGATTCCCAAAAAATCTGAAGAATTAAAATATAACACTACTGAAGCAGCTATTAAAATTCAATCTAGTTATCGAAATCATCTTGAAAGAAAACGTCGTCAAAGTATCTCAAAAATAAAACGAGCCTTATCTATTATTGATACTAAAGATGAAAGTATAAACGAATCAGATAGTGAATCGAATCAACATCATCACAATTCATCATCAACAGAAACTTCAAGATTTGAATCAAGAGAAAATCAAACCGTCAACGAATCATCTATTGCAAAAACTCCTGAAATAGAAGACAATCGCAGTAACAATTCTGTAGAAGACGAAAAATCTTCTGATAAAGTTGATAACAATAAAATATCAGTTCCAGAAGAAAATTTAGAATCAGAAGAACCGACAGTAGACGAAGTAACAGAAAATTCTAACGAAATATTAACTGAAGATAAAAGTATTGCTGATAATACACAGTCAGAGGTAAGTTTCCTCAATTTCCCTTGATGTGTGCTTGTACTTTAAACGAAAGACAAAATTTTTACTTTTAACAGAATCCAAAGAGCTGAAGGGTAGGTAATCGAACTATATATATTAATGTGGCCATACATGAATTTATGAAGATTATTCAACGTTCAAAATAACTACTAGTGATCTGCAGCTACAGCAGAAGTTATATTCAAGGAAAACACATTCTAATCTACAGTGAGGCGAAGTAATATGAATTACATAGCAGAAGTTAATTTCCATGATCCCACATCGAAGCCAGTTGCTAATTATTATTGAAATAATTTACTAACATTTACTCATTTTTTCAAGCAAATTGAAAAGGAATGATGAAATATGGCACATACATTATTTAGCATCTGAGTCAGGTAGGGAGATGCAGACTTGGGTTGGGGCCCTCGGGACTCTAGGAACCAATGGCTGGAGACAATAGGTGACATGGCTCAAAATCGTTGTCAATGGCGCAGATGTATTTAGTCTCTGTAATCTTTCATATTCCTTTCTACCATTACCCATTATGTTTCACTCTTATACGTGTCAAACTCTATTGATTCTATTCACTCATCTTCTTGTCTACCTTTATGTGCTATTTGAAACGTGGCAAAAAGAACTGCTGCACTTCGGTACCAAGTTCTATGTTGAATCCAGACAGACAGACATCTAATCTGTGAATATCACCTTATTTGACAAAGAGTAGAAAAAAATGCTGATTCAATGTCAAAAACAGCGTTAGCGTTGCGATGATCTTTTGTGTTTGGATTAATGGAATGTATTTCAAACCCAATGATTATGTTCTGAAAATGACAGTAATGGAGCTACACTCGCACCCACACCCACAAACACTGTACTGAAGTTTGCTTCTCTTCACATCTATACTCATTCACTGAACTTCATTTCTTTTGCACTAAATTGAGAGGACGGAGTTCATTGAAAAAGATTATTGACTCTTCTACTTACTTACTTACTTACAAAATATTTTGATATTAATACTTACCTGAATTTCAATGAAAGAAAATTTACATTTTTTCTTCTCGGAAATGTATTTTGTGAACCCGTTCATCTTTTACAGATCAGATCACAAAAGTAACCATGAGTTGATGTAGGAAGGTTTGAATAAAATGCATGTCAGAATGAAACTTTGGTAGGTTAAGTGACTTTAGTGCGCTCAAAATGTCTATTTCACAGTGTGTTGAAACTACCTGCATTAACCAAGATAGAACTATACTAGAAAAACATTGAAAGGAATTTGAATGAAGAGAAGGCTGAAATGTTCTCTTATGAAGTTTTATCTCTAGAGGTGATGAGAGTTTTTGGTGTATGCCTCATCCTACAGCATTTTCCACTCAGTGGACATTTTATGCAACAATATTGGGTCCTATTTGAGAATTTCTGTTCGCTTCATTAAGTATTCATTTTTACTTTATTTATTTTTCTTATCTTATTCCTTACGTTCCCAGTGGAACATAGGGCTTCATGCTAGAGGCTTGAAGTTTCGGTAGCAGTGGGGTTTATTTCTACGGGATGAGGTTGCTAGCCACATGCCCAACCTTCCTCTTTATGAGTCTTATTACTGAGTTAGCGTGGTGAAAGAGGAGTGCTTGGGCCGGGGTTCGATACCCGAATCATCTGCGTAGTTGACGAGCACACCACCAAAGCACTTTAAGTGTTCATAGACTAACTCAACGGTAGGATGTATTGATAAACACTAATTTAGTCATTAGATTATTTCGTCAAAAAACCGTTACGGAACATATTTTACTCACTATTATCAATCCCATAGTGTTACCAGAGTATTCAAGTAGTGATTGTCAACAAACTGACAAATCTAGGTATGGAAACTACACTTTTACATATAACAATTCTAGATTTTCTGCGCTTTTTTTACCGGTAACTTTGAATGAAATTGAATCTTTGTTAAAATTTATGGACCAATGAATGGCATGCGGAAATGTATTTTACTGGAAACCTCAATTTTTGCATAAGTGTAAAATGATGACTTTCCAAAATGCATGTAGCTCACCGAACATTATTCACTCTAGTCTTAATATCTATCCAAATAGGTCAGTCTAAAGTTTTGTGTGGTCACTAAGCTAAATAATAGGATACTAACACACACATCCTAGTGTACTATGATTCGACACTGTACTGAGAGGATAGGCCGCCGTACAGAATTTCAAAAAATTAAATCCGTCATTTTAGTTCAGTAAAGTTATTTACCACAACCGTAGTATTCTGATCATGTTTTACTTTATTGGAAGAATATAATTTTCAAACTATGACATACTTCGCGTTCTGAATGGAACAAAAGGCTTCAAGATTTTTGAGGTTGCACTAGCGATGGTCTTTTTTAATGTTAGGTAACTAGAGGTAATTGGGTGGGAATCCTTGGACTTAGGTTTCCTGATGATTGGTGCTCGTTAAATGAGGTGTTCGGGCTCGCTACTGACCTGATGTAGGACTGTAACGAATACTTTGGTTGGCAGGTAGGTAGTAGGTTACAACTGTCATGCGTCTAGTCCATGAAACGGCGCAGTCTGAATAATTTGAATAGCCCAATGGTGATATGTCTGACTAAAGCACTTGGTGATACGGCTTCAAGTCTCAAAGGAGATATAATTTCCTTAAAGGTTTCAGGTACGCCTTGCGGATGAGTACCAAACAATTACGAAACTTAGGTCAAGTGTTTCCTGTCAATCACCTCCAATGTTCTATTACCAATCAATGCTCACTATGATGGTGAGTCACCGAACATGGTCTCCACGTTGCAAACTTGAATGACAGAATTTAGGAATAGATGCATGACACTTGTTACTACCAATCAAACATTTTGTTTTCTTTACGGTATGCGGCTGCTAACCTCAAACCCCATCTTTCCTGGGCCTACTAACGGACGAGTACATCGACCACTATGGCCACTATTGGCCACTGAACCGCTGAAGCACGTATAAAATACAGTAAACTGATATCTACTCTGTATAATATTTTATCAAAAGTAGTTGTGTTTATTTTCGATATCCAGCGAGAAATTTAAAATGTCTACAAAAAATATTATTATTTCTACCTTGGATTCCGAGTGAAACATAGGGCTTCAACAACCCATCTCCAATTTGTTCTATTCTCTGCTATTGTCTTCAGCTTGCTACCTCCAAGATTGCTAATGGTCTCTTATCTCCTCCTTGCCACGCTGTCACCCTTGCACCTACGACCCACTCGACGCTTCCAATGTGGGATCCACATGAGCGATGGCCTGGTGCGCGATTTCATTCGACGGCCTCCTAAACGAATGCATCATCCATCTTCATTTTCTCCCATATGCTTGTTGAGCAATTGACTCTTGGTTGGTTTATTCCCAGAGTTTCTTGTTGCTAATTCTTCTTGCCTGGTTGGGCATTTGATCTTCAGTATGGAGTGTCAGGGAAAGCAGCTACTGATGAGAGTCTGTACCAGCCTGTTGGAAATCCTTTTCGTGATCCACAGTGCAAGTTTCTGACCTGTATAGATAGACTGACTTCACATTTGTGTTGAAAATGTGAATCTTGTTCCTTATGCTGAGGCGGAGTGCGAAACATTTCCCAACCGGTTTCAGGTTGATGAAGGCGTATATCGCCTTTCCGATTCTGGCCTTGACATTTTCATCTGTTCCGCTTGTGATCAAGACTGTGCTTCCTAGATAAGTGAAGAAAATAACCTCTATCAAATCTCTCCCGTTAATGATTGTTGTTTTTGCTGTTGGTTGTTGTCTTCACAAACCTCGTCTTCTCTATGTTCATCTGTAATCTTGTCTTCGCTTCTCTTTTCTTCAGCCAGTTTGTTGATTCACGCCAGCATGTCTTCGAGTTTTGCGACATTAGACAAATCATCCGCGAAATCTAGAGTCTTCTGATCGGTCCAACGTATTCCTGTCTTCTTTCTCCCTGTAAACAGTCTGACGCATAACCCAGTCCGCCACAGTTAAGAATATCACCAGTGATAATAGACAGCAAGCTTGTCTTACTCCTGTATTCAATGTGAACGCCTCGGTGAGTTTCCGGTTAAGGATCAACTGACACGTGCACTGTCATATACCCAGCTGTTGAATGAGGTTGACAAAGACTTGGCACTACACGCCCTAGTGTTGAAGCAGCTTCTAAATTACTTATCGATCAACACCATCTGTCGAAGGCTTTTTTGAAGTCGATGAAGTTGAGAGATAGGGTTTGACTGCCATTCTATGCTTGTTCAGTGATGATACGTAGAGTTGCAATTCGATTAGCATATGATTTGCCTTTCCTGATCCAGCCTGTTTCGGGCAGAGTTCTGTATGTAGTGCACCCTTTATTCCCTCCAGATGATGCTACACAGTATTTTACTTGGCGTGGACAAGAGCATTATTCCACGTCAGTTCTTGCACGGGCCTAAGTCGCCGTTCTTTGACAGTTTGACGAGCTAGACCTTCTTCCAGTCGTTAGGTACCTTTCCTTCCTCCCAAACCTTTCGTAGTAATGGAGTGAGAACATCTGCCACAGTCTCTGGCTCCGTTTTCAGTGCTTCGTGAGAAGTGCCATCTGGTCCTGCTGCCCTCCCTAATTCAGTAGCTTGATCGCATTCAGGATTTCTTTTTCCATTGGAGGAGGGTGTCCACTGGCATTTCCGTGTGTGCTCCTGGTGCTATTTCTGGGCGAGTTGCCAGTGGTGGTCGATTCAAGAGTCCTTTAAAGTGATCAGCCCACTGTTTGATTTGTTTCTCCTCCTTGGTGATCAGGTTCCCTTGATCATCTTTGATTGGTTTCATCACCTGGGTGATCTCTCCCGGATAGAGGCTTGGTTATCTGACATAGTATCCTGATGTCTCTTTTGCCTGCCGCCTGTTCTGCTTCAGTGGCCAGCCAGTGTGTCGTAGAATTGTCTTTTGTCTTTTCCGTAACTCACTCCTCTTCACTTCTTTATTCAGTGCAGTGTATGCTGAACTTAGATTATCCTTCTGTTGTCTATCTTTG